TTTCTCTTTCTGTTTTTCTTTTCTTTTCCTTTCTTTTTTTTTTTTGCTCTTTTAATCTTTCTTAGATTGATGAAAAAATTTAATCGTTTAATTTTGTACCTCATTATTTACTTTTTCTTTTTTTTGTTATTTTCATTTGAATAGATAAAAAAAGACAGTATTATTATGGAACTGATAAAAATAATTTTAAAAGTATATTTTATAAAATAAAATTTTGGTATGTATATGCATGCACGCAATTATTTTTTCACTTTAAAATAAGGTAAAATTTTATTTTGCAAATAATTTGCATAAAATTATTAATGAGAAATGAAGTAGAATAAGGGAAAAAAAAAAAAGATGTGACATAAATGGGGTATTTTTTGTCTTTTGAACTGATCAATTAATCAATTATTGATCGATCGATCGATCGGGATGAAACATTCAGATAGTGAAGAAGCTGAATGGAATTTCACAAATTTAACATTTAATCATTTGCAGCACTTGTTTTCTTCACACTTTTTTCCTTTCCTATCTTTCATTTCATTTTGGGGCGGGTAAAAAAGGGAAGGAAGGAAGGAAGGAAAGAGGGAAGGAAGGAAGGAGGGAAGGAAGGAAGGCATTAATTATTGTTTATTGTTGGTTAAATTTCCGTTCTATTACTTTTCTCATATTCTTTAATAATTTATTAAATATATATCTACATATATGCATTCATTATAGAGTTACGTAAGTTACGTGAGATGGGAAAATTTGTGTAACATTTATTTGTTTTATTAATTTAAAGAACTAATTAACTATTTTAACTGAAATTATTCACTTATTGCTACAATTAATTCCAGTTTTGCTAATTTTATATGTATCATATCTTTTTTTTTTTATGTTTTACGTTTGTATCTTTTGCTTGATAAATGATTACGTAAACATTCTGATATGATAGAATTATCATTATTCTATTTACATTCCCGCAATTCTTAAAATGTTAACATGTATGGAAATTAAGTAATACGTATTAGGTTAACGTGTATGAAATTAAAATTAAGTAGAAGGGATTTTTTTTTTTATTGAACTATACTTCATTTTATAGTTGATATGATTTTTATGAAATTACTTTTTACCACTTTGTTTTGTTAGTTTGATTAGTGAGACTAAATTTTTTTGGGAAATATTACATTCAAAAATTATAAAACAATTATATGTAAAATAAAGCATATAAATATTTATCATATAAATATGATGCATACAGCTATTTTAGATATTTATATTTCATATTTTTTTAAAATGTTTTAACGCACTTTGCTTTATTTTTCTTCTCCATTCCTTAATTGTTAGTAATGACTAATTGTGTTTTAAACATTTGAAAAAAAAATGAAAGAAATTCTTAAGTTATTTCAACATTTTTATCTTAATTTTTAGTAATTTATTAAATATTTATCTAAATTAAATTCCGATTAAGAGAGAGAGAGAGAGAGAGAGAGAGAAAAAGGAAGGTATCATATTTGCAATTTGATAATTTAACTGTCAAATTTTTCAAATAATTTCATTTTTTTGTAAACTTTCAGTCAACATTCTTATTTCGGAATCTATCTCAAATGTTATATCACATCTCTTCTTCACTCATCTTTCTTCTCTTTACTTTTGTTGATGAAAAAAAAAAAAAAAAAGAACTTCATATCGGGTTTTTTTTTTAATTTTCATCCTCTCTCTCTCCCTCTTCTTTTTTTCCTCTCTCTCTCTCTCTCTCTGTGTGTGTATATGTGTGTCCTTCCTTGTTTCTTGTTAAAAAAAGAATTGAACTAATACATAGATTAATAAAGATAATTTATAGAAGAGAAAGTTGACAAGGACAGAGAGAGAGAGACAGAGAGAGAGAGAGAGAGAGAAGAAATCATTATCATTGTCATCGTGTCATTGCTATTCATTGTCATCATCTACTACTTCTTTACTTCGTTTTGATCGTCACAAACGAAGAAGGATAGTTTTAGATACTATTTCCGATAAATGTTCACTTTTTTTTTTTTTTTCCTCTATAGTCAATTGCAAATATCACATAAAATATGATACTTTTAAAGAGAAAAAGAAAAAGAGGAAAAGAAAATTTATTTTTACTCATTTTTATCATTTTTTGTTCGTTTCTTTTTTGAGATTTTTAAGATTGCAAACTATGTTAAACTAGTTTAGCTTAAGTTTAAGCTTAAATTTATTCAAATATTAGAGAAGAAGAAGAAGAAGAAAATGGAATGAATGGAATGAAGTAAAGTGGATGAATAAAGAGTTAAAAATGTTTGTTAGAGGAGGAGGAGGAGGATTTGTAAACTTGTCATTTTTGTTATTTTTAATTTTGATTACAACTTTTTTTTTTTTTTTTTAAGTATCATTCTATTCCTCTTTACTTTCTCATCATTTCTCTTCTTTTTTCTTCTCTTTTTTTTCCTCTTTATATTAAAAACGTTGCTAGCGTGAAAATTTTTGAGAACTTTTAATTATTTTTAGAAATTAAAAAAGGTTTTTATTTCACATAAATTACACAAATCAAATGTGAAATTATTATTGTCTACGTTAATTAATGATAAATTAGTTAAATCTGATTATTAGAATTACAGTATTTGATATAAATATGCATTTCAAAATTTCTAATTAAAATAATTTATGAATATGTTTTTATGATACTGGAATTTTTCTCGTTGTTAATTTCAAAATCTTCTGTGACTTATTGTTTTCGTACGTCATATTTATGACCTAATTTTTTTTTTCCTTTTAACTTAAATTTTATCTTATTTTATTTTTTCAATTTTTTTGTTTCGTATTTTTTAAATCTATGAAATATTTTGAAGAATATATAGTTTTTATGGATATAAAATTTATTGCTATTGTATATAATACGAAATAATTTTAGCCAGCAGAAGCAGAAAAAAAGAAGTGACAAAAAAAGGTGACAAGAAGAAGGGAAGCAGAAAGAAGAAAGAAAAAAGAAAAAAGATAAAAATGTCAAAACCGGAAAAAGCTGGAGCGCAACAAACGTCACTTCTTGATGTCCTCAAGAAAAAGATGCGACAAGCTCGAGAAGAAGCAGAAGCAGCAAAAGATGAAGCAGATGAAGTGAAAAGACTTTTGGAAGAGGAACGAAAGAAACGTGAAGATGTACGTTTATAAATTTCAATATTATTTATCAATTTTTATTCTTTTACTTTTTTCTTTTTTACATTATTCAAACAATTTTATTTTATCTCTCTAAGTTATTTGTTAATTATTTAATTAGTAAATTTGTTATCGATGGATGTATTTTATAGTAGTTTCATTTTTAGTACAAATGAATGATATTTAGTTAGAATAAATATGTGATATTTTTATTTTACACACATATATTTTACATTCAATTATTTGTTTACTCATATTCTAGTTATTTATTTGTTTAGTTCACAGTATTCTTCACTTCCACTTCTCAACGGATAGCTTTTATACATTTCTGTGAGAAATGGTTCATATTTACTTTTTTCATCATATTCATGTTATATTCTCAAAATTAATTTATGTATGTATAAGATAGAAATGAAAAAAAAAAAGAATTTCTTACATATGTAAAAGTTTTATTTGAATTTTGAGGGAAATTGTTTAGAAGATGGAAAATTAATTATAAAAGGATATTTGAAAATGATACAATCAATGATTGAAATATTTTTAAATATTAGCGGAAATAAATAGAATTGATATTCTATTTGAAATATTATAATTATCACTGGAATGTAAACTTAACTTGGATTGTGTATATGGTGGGAAAATGTTATCGATAAAAAGCGGAAATTTATTATTTTCTAAGATTCTTCTGTCTTTCTCTTTCCCTCCCTCTCTCACTCTCTCTCTCTCTCTCTCTCAATGAAGGGTTAAAAAACATGTGCGTAGCATTTTTTGAATGGATAATGTAAAAGATTGATAAAATGCAAAGGGAAATCAATATTACATAATTGGAAGGGCAAAAATTCAAGCAAAAGATTTTTTTTTTTGCTTTTGCTTGAAAAGAAAAACAGAGAATATTTTAGGGGAAAATTTAATGTTAGAATTTTTTTTTAAACTACAAATATATTAAAAATTCATTTTATATTAATGAAATTTAAGTTGATAGAAAGCATTTGCTAAATGTTAGTTAAAATAAGAATGATATGATTATATGCAAAGGATTAAAATGAAATGAACTTTTCTCTTTACGATAGAAGAAATAATTGTTGTCAATTGATTGAATCATAAATCAATAGCTTAAATGTGATCTATTCATAGTCATATAAAGAACGGTAAATGTGATGGTTAATTATATGGCATTGATATTCAACTGAAGGTTAAAATTATACATTATCATAGGGAAAGAAGAGAAGAATGAATAAAAATAGGAAATGATAATCTTTTAAGATCAGATCTAAAATTTGATATTTTGATAATTGAATGAATGGTTTATTTTATCAGATATTATTATTATTATTATTATTATTATTATTATTATTATTATTATTATTATTATTATCACTATTATTTAAGTAACAATATGTTTTCTTAGTCGACTGTTTAGTGGGGATTCGTGAATTTCTCTATAAATTTTCAAATGTTTAATATTGTTGAAATTGTCGAGTGAAGTTTGAAGATTATAATTGCAATTGAAGAAATGGTAGTATTGGTAATAGTTATTGTTGAATGAGAAATAGTAATGACAATTAGAATGTATAATAATAGTAGTAGTAGTAGTAGTGCTCTCTTTTCTTTCAAATACTTTTGTCATCTTATACATCTACTGTTATTTAGACTTGGCCTATTCTTATTCAATAATTTCTCCTTTTATATATATAGTGTATGTATCGTCACATTTATAATATTTTATAAAATTTTCACTAATTTTATCAATTATAATTTTCCCTTTTTTTTTTTTTTTTGATTTCTATTGAAAATTGTGATTCTGCGAAAATATTAGGAAATTTAAATGGTTAATTGTTAATTAATAACTTTAGTGAAGAAATAATAATGATTGAATTTCAGTTATGCTATTGATAAATTTGAGAATTGGAAAATTGAAATTTTCAAAGTTTAAAATTACACTACTCATACAAAATACTAAAATTTATGACGTAGATTATAGATTAGAGATTGTTAAAAGAATTTTATTTCAGGCTGAAGCGGAAGTAGCAGCGCTAAATCGTCGGATTGTGCTTGTTGAGGAGGATTTAGAGCGGACAGAGGATCGTTTAAAAAGTGCTACAGAAAAATTAGAGGAAGCATCAAAAGCAGCTGATGAAGCTGAACGGTAAAAATCAAAAGAGAAGAGTGATGAGCAAGATGCTTCTCATAATAAGCATCTGCTTATCAAATTAAAAAAAAAAAAACAACTTTTGAAAATTTTGGTTTTTTACACCATAACTAACCTTTTATTTTTTTTTTTTAATATGAAATTAAAAAACGAAAAAATTTTTTTTTATAACCTTTTATTTTTTTTTCTTTTTAAAAATATGAAATTAAAAAGAAAAAAAAAACATTACTTGAAAAAAAAAGTAATGTTGTTTTAGTATGCTAAATGTATATCTTTGAAAACTTTTTTCTCAGAAATAATCCAAAAAACGAAAAAAAAAAAACAAGAAAAAAGTGCATAATTAATAATAAAACTAAAATATTAAGTCAATATAATATGGTATGAAAAACCTAAATTTCCAAATTTTAAATAATTATTGTAGGATTTCTAGGGATTACGTTATTGCTTTTTTTTTTTTTTTTGTAGGATTTTATAGGATATAGGGAATATTTTATTGCGTTCATATCGAATTAGAAGGTAGTAGCAGAGAGGAAAGAGGTGAAGGTACGAGCAGAAAAGTACAACTTCTAGGCGGAGGCTGAGGTAGCAGCCCTGAATCGTCGTATGACACTTCTGGAAGAGGAATTGGAACGAGCAGAGGAACGTTTGAAGATTGCAACGGATAAATTGGAAGAAGCAACTCATACAGCTGATGAATCCGAACGGTCAGCGAAATAATTTCGGCAATACCGGTAGCAAAATTCTGGAATAGTTCTAAGATGATCTTCCAGAAATTTTGTTTATCCGGGAAAAAAAAAAGAGAAGCCAACCGAAACGGCAGCCATCAGTAATTTATTTTGTCCATTGTGTTCATGAAGGCCTCCTCAGCCTCCTTTTTTTTTATCTTCTCAATCCTCTTTCATTTTCTTTTTCTTTTTCTTTTTTTTTTTTTCAAATACAGCATGATATGATATTTTTATCAAATTTTAGTAATGAAAACAAAAAAAAAAAAAAAAATAACTGAAAGTCAAGTTTTCTTTTTTTTTTACTTTTTATTTAATTTGCTTGAATTGCACACAATATAATTCATATGTTTCTTTCTTTCCTAATTTAATTTTTCTAATTTAAAAGATAAGTTAATAATATGAAAGCATATGAAAAAAAATTTTTTTTTTCTATTTATCACATAAAATTGATACACATTAAAAGTTCAGTAATTATCTCTAAATAGTAACAGAAAAAGATTTATAAAAAACAATCATAATATGCACAAATTGAATTTTGTTTTATTTTTTTAATACTAATATTTTACTAATCTTGCTTTTTCTGATCTTAAATATTAAATCTTTATGATTGAAATTAATTCACAAAAGGATAATTTTTCTTTCTTTTTTTCTTTTCCTCAATTTTTTTAACTCCTTAGCAAATTTCGATAATTTTTTTTTATTACCTAACATAAAAATAATAAGCTTATTAAGTGAGTTTTGTTACTAAATTATACTCGTATGTATTGTTCAACTAATTATTGTTTATACGTCCTGTGATTTTGTGATGAATCGTTTTTCTTCTGTCGTAGTGCTCGTAAATCGATGGAAACACGATCACAACAAGATGAAGAACGAGCTAATGTATTGGAAATACAAGTTGATGAGGCAAAAATGATTGCTGATGAAGCAGATCGAAAATATGAAGAGGTTATATCATTTCTTGTTGTTCGTTTTTGTTTTATTTTGTTTTTGTTTTTGTTTTTTTCTCGTCTTTGTTAATCGATTTGGAAGAAAATTTTTTTGCTTTTTGTATTTTGGCTACACTTCAATTTACGCCAAATTGACGTTATGCAACGATTTTAATGAACTATCGAAATTTTTACGAAATATAAACATTTACGTGATTTTTTATTGTCAATTTGTTTTGTTTTCCGTTCGTGATTTTTTGTTGTCAACTATTTAATTTTCCGTTCATTTGTTTATGTGATTTTAAGTGTTATATTCGTCTTGATGTTATCATTTTTATGATCATAATAATTTCGACCATATTAATGCATTTCATTTTTGTTTATTTTTGCATGTTTAAAATATGTTGCATGTTGCATGCTTATTTTTACATATGATCTAAGATTCGCTTGAAAATTACTACCTAATGATTGTAAACTTTATTATTCCTTCATATATCATTTGTTAATTTGAGGCTTCAATTTTTTTTGTTTTTTCACTATGTGATTAATTAGAAAATTTGAAAAAGGAGAGAAATTTATCAGTGAAACATATATATTAATGAATAACATTCTAATTGATAACTAATTACAGACAATGTTACTGAGTGTGTTTAACGTTAACTTTTTTGAGTGACCATAAATAACCTTTAATATTCTAAATATTTTTTTTTTTTTTGTTATAATTTAAAAATAAAACAATAATTTGTTTTCTTTTCTTTTAAATAACATATTTAACGGAATGAAAATACATGTGTTTTGTTTGTTGTCATCAATTCAGCGCACGTAAAGCATTGGAAAATCGTATTGATGTGGATCACGATCGTTGCGGTGAGTTGGAACAAAAATTACGTGAAGCTCAAGCATTACTGGCTGAAACAGAAAATAAATCAGATGAGGTTGTGCTTTTACCCATTTTTTTTTTACCCATTTTCCATACTTGTTAAACTAACAGTTTGCCTTATTAATTCATTTGCCTACTTACTTATCTGTCTTTTTTTTTTGAAAAAAAAATGGAAACGAATTAATTTATATTGAAAATTAATTCGTCTATTTATAAGATGTGAATTTTAGTGAGTTATTTAAATTAGTCTTTTTTTTTTGGTTCATTGGGAATAAAAATGGTTAAATAATTTAATTTTCACTTATTTTAGATATATCATTTTTATTCCTTAACAATTATAATTCATTCGGGAAATTAATAGCTATATTTTATCTTGAAACTTAGTGAATGAGATAAAAATGATGGAAGTAAAGAGAAATGAAAAGTTATTCAAGCATTTTCATGTCTAAATTTTAGTTATGAATTTTGTAAAATTTATAAAATCACTGCTGTGCGTAGTCGTTTGCATTTTGTTTGCCTTATTACAGTTACTGATACTTTCAAATTATTTCTGTTTCTTAATATTTATTATTTAATATGTGTGTATGTATGTGTTTTGTGTGTTATCTCCTAATCTTTTATCTTTTATTTGCATTTCTTATCAAAGTTTTTTTATTAAATTTTAAAAAATGAATTTAAACTATCATTTTTTTTCTCTAAAGTTATTCCTATGCTTCTTCCTGTCATTCTTTTAGATCTTTCCATCTTCCAATTTCTCTATCATTTTGTACAGTAGATGAAAGAAGGCTTCTGGCGGTTGGTTTTTCTTTCATTTCATATTATAAATAACGATAATAACAGCTAATTCTATAGTTTAAAAAAAAAAAAAAAAGAAGAAAGAATTTGTCAGTGTTTTAAAAATTTGGTATGAAATTAAATTACAATTCGTTTATTTTGAAAGCTAAAAATAGAAATTTGAAAGAATTAAGAAATAATTTTCATTACATTTCTTTATTTCTATTTTTTTTTTTTTTTTAAAGGAAAAAAAAATTCGAAGAAAATGATAAAATTTAATTTTCTTACAGAAAATAGGATGAAAATATTTTATAAAATTTAGATATTAAAGATAAAATAGTAGAAAAAAAGAAGAAAATATTGATGTAATATTGGGGATTTAGTGTTCGAAAAGTCATGGAAAATCGTTCATTCCAAGATGAAGAACGTGCCAATACGGTCGAATCACAATTGAAGGAAGCGCAGTTATTAGCCGAAGAAGCGGATCGAAAATACGATGAGGTGATGATGAGTGGAATAAGAGGGAGAGAGAGAGAGAGAGAGAGAGAGAAAGAGAGAGAGAAAGAAATATGTTGTGTTATTATTAATTTATGTAAATTTTTGTTGAAATTTATTCATTCAAATAAATGTTCTTTTTAAATAATAATAATAACTTTATTTTCTTTTTTTTTTTTTTTCAAATTAACATTAAAGGGTTTGCATGCATAGATTTTATATAATATTTCTTCTCTCTTTTATTTCTTTATTTACATATGCCTTTTTTCTTTTCATTTATTTTAATTAAAAAATTTTTTAATACAATTGTTAAAAAAATGTCTATAGCTATTAATATGATAGCAGTTCATGGGAATGTTCAAAGCATATTAATGCACTAATAGAATACATTTTGTTGCTAAAGTTTCAAATAAATCTTACTGATTTAAATGAGTAAGATGATTTGTTAATTAATTATTGATGTGGATTTAATTAATGAAGTGGATTAAATTGAGTAATTTTGAATACTTAAATGCTATTAAATAGTTTTAGTGTCTCTTTCTTTCTGAAAAAAAAAAACAATGGTTTTTCTTATTTATTGATGTTCAGTAAATAGATTGTTTGATTTTTTATAAATAGTTCATTCTAGAAAGGATGATTATGTATGTAATTAATTATTCTTTATATTTATTATCCAGGGAATTTAACTCAGTAATTTATATTTTTTAATTGTATGAATTGTACTAATTTTTTTTTTTTTTTTAAAGGAGTGTGCTTAAAAAATTACTTTTATCTGACGATTTGATTTATTGTCAACTTCAGATATTGTTTTTGTTTACTAATCGTTGTTGTTGGTTTGTTTTTATTTTTGAAATCAGTGTTAAGTTTAACTTAGAATCGTTTGATATACTGAAGAATTTTTATTGCATTCATCTAACTTTCTCATTCCGAATTTTTATTCATTTTGTTTGTGTCACATAATATGTTACTTGAATACGTCTACTTCTATGGGAGCTATAACGATTTGTTAATGTGAAAAAAAGCTGATAATTCAGATAGTATAAAAAAGATAAGAAAGTAAGCTGATCTAATCTGATAGAAAAATATTAGGCGATTTGATCTTTCAAGAGACTATAATCAATTTAGGGGAGTGGATATGGGGACAGTTTGATGAATAATGAAATTTGTTTGGATTTAATCTTATCTGGAATATCTCGTACTTTTGTTTACTGATCTATTGACTTTAAGTAAAGTAACGTAGAAGTATCTGTCTGTCTTGTTCGTCCTCTTTCTCTAATGTTACGTCTTTTACGAGATTTCGTTGTCATAATGTGTTGTTTTCCACTTACCAATTCTTGATTTTGCTGTGCAAAAGAACTGTTTAATCAATCCCTTTTAAATAGTTCATTTCATTTCCAGGTAGCTCGTAAATTAGCTATGGTTGAAGCCGATTTGGAACGAGCTGAAGAGCGTGCTGAAGCCGGTGAAAAGTTAGTTTTCAATAAAATTCATCAAATATAAAAAGTTTCATCAAATGGCAAATAGTCACTTATTAAATTTGCAAAAGAATTTTAGACACAATTTTTAAGGATTTGAGCTATTGTTATGAGTGTATCTACAATTTTTCTCTCTTCTATTTTATTTTATATCAAAGTAGTAAGGCCTGTTAACTTCATTTGAAATAATCCTTTAATTTTAATTTTTGGAAAGTTGAGGAAACTCAAAGATATTAAGCAAACTTGCGATAACAGTACATCTCGACAAGACCTAAAAACAGGATGGGTTGACTACCTTGTAAAGCTTGTAGTGAGAGATTCTTGTATCAGAGGGAGAGGGAGCATTTTGTATTATGCTGGATTTTATTTATAACTAATGATATGATTAATTATAAATTAGTATGCAATTTCATTTTTGATTTGATTTGAGCAGAAATAATTGCTTATGCAATCAATTCTCGACATGTAATGAATTTCATTAAAAAAAAAAAAAAAACATAAATGTGTGAATGGTGAATGAGAATTTAACATCAAATTATAAATTATCAATTACATCATACGATATTTATCGCACACATTAGATTAATTTTACGAGCAGTTGGAGTTTTTTCTTTTTTGAAAAAAAAAAAAAGAAAAAATTTTTTTGGAATAATGCGTTGATTTGAATGAAACAATAGAAAAACACGTGAAATGGAACGGGAATTGGTTGCTGTGGGAATGAACTTGAAAACATTGGAAGTTCATGAAGAACGTGCTCTACAACGTGAAAATTCTTTCTCCGATCATATACAAAGCTTACAAAATCGGATCAAAGAGGTGAAAATGGTCAAAATATTGGGATCAGCGGTATTAAGCATGATAAATTTACATAAACTTTAGTTAAATGAGTTAGTTACTTATAGTTTTTAAAGTTAAAAATATTAGTTACATCAATTAATGTTTTTATCAAATATCAGTTAATTTTTTTATCAAATGTCATGTATATTTTTATGTGATTTAGAATTAATGAAAAAAAAAAAATGATTTTTTGATGTATCTTTCATAGTTTCTTTTTTTTTATTTTTTTTAAAGGCTTCAAGAATCGATAAAATAAATGTGAGAAAAAGATCAGTCGGACTTACAATTGAATTTTGCTTAGCAAAAAGTCTTGAATGGTATAATAAATATTTAATTCAAATTTATATTGCTAAAATGATAGTAGTGTAGAGTTTTTGTATTTGAGAGCAAAAACAACGATTTAATAATACAAATATTGCAGAGGTGACTGTCAATCAAGAGCTAAAATCTTTTTTGATAATAAAAAAGTTCTCCTCAAGTAAAGAAAATGAAATTTTAGTATGAGAAAATAAGTAGAAATACGATTAATTAGGATAAAGTAGTCAAGTAAAAATGATTAAGTAAAGTAAATGTTAGTAAGGAATAAATGAAATATATACCGCTGATCTCATTGATAACGAAATGCTCTATGATGGATGGCTATTTTGTGTTTGTGGGAAAAATTTGATGTGTTATTGTTATGTGTTGTAAAAATGTAAGTTATTGGTGAATGGTGAATGTTGTATGCTATGAAAAATGCTAAGCTAATAAGAAATTAAGCTTTATACATATACATCGGTTTTTTTTTTTAAAAAAAAAATTAATTTATTATGTCAAAAAAAATTTTTGGCATAATGAATTTCTTTTTTTTTTTTTCATTAGTTCTTTCTTATTTTGCATATTCCTTTTGTTATTTGTGCAGCAAAATTGTGGAATTGGAAGAAGAGCTTCGTGTTGTTGGCAATAATTTAAAATCTTTGGAAGTATCTGAGGAAAAAGCTTTACAACGTGAAGATTCATACGAGGAACAAATTCGTACAGTTTCAGCACGTTTGAAGGAGGTATATAATTGATATGGAATAATTATTATCTGAATATTATTAGTGAATAAATATTAAAAAGTTTGTGGTAAAAAAATTTTTTTTAAAAAATATTCTTGAGTTAAGCTTGCTTTGTTTATGTTGTGAAAGTTTTATATTGAGCTTGGAATGCACAAATTTTAAATTTATTGCACTTTTTTAGTTTATTCATCCTTTTTTTTTTTTTTTTTTTTGCATGATGATATGCATATACTTTTCTTATTGAATGCATGTAGTAAATGTTACTTTTATTAATTATTTTAGGCAGAAACTCGAGCAGAATTTGCTGAACGATCAGTTCAAAAATTACAAAAGGAAGTTGATAGACTTGAAGGTTTGTTTCGAAAGTTTTTTTTGAATAAGTTTGATAGTATCATTATTTTCCGTTTTTTTTCTTTATTTTATGGAAAAAGAAGTAAATAAAAAAAAAATGTTGATCTGTAATAATTATTTAATTGAATTTTTTTTTTTTAACACTTAATTGAAATATATCTATTCTATTGCCATGGATCTAAATACCAAGCAAATAATGAAATGAAATAGAATAGTTAAGGTTTGGAATAAAAGATTTAATGTAAAGGATCTATCTACTAAGAAAAAAAAAGTGGGTAATAATAATTGAAATAAATTGAGATAATTTAAAATTTCTCATCTTATTTCTATAGCTTCTTCATATATTATACTCCTTTTTTTGTTTTTGTATGTTTAGTGTTGTTGTTATTGTTTATTGTTTAATGTTTTTGTGATAAATGGAATGTAAATTAATGAGAGCTACAGATGAGTTATTAATCGAGAAGGAACGTGTGCGTAATTTGACGGAAGAAATCGAGCAAACTGTTCAGGAGATTCAGACCTCCTGAAATATGTTCATCTAAATGCCGTATCAACATCATTTGTTTAACATTTTGTTCGTCATTTTTTTTTCTTTTTTTTGAGCGTATATGCATGTATGGTGTATTTGCGTGTGTTTCTAGTGTGTTTCTTACGTGTGTTTCTTACGTGTGCTTTCTTACGTGTATTTTCGTTATTTATCCATACGTGATGTTTATATGGATAATAATGCATCAAAAAGTTTTCGTTTTTAAATTAGTCCAAATTAATAAGCTTACTCTTTTGTTCCATTCATATATCGTTTCATTCCTTTTGAATAAATAAAATCTTTTCCATCCACTAACTTTTCCTTACAAAATTTTTATATTGTTGTGATAAATGTTTGCATTATCTTATTTTTTCATGATTTTTTTTTTTTAATTTTGCTGGAATGAATTATTTGAATTTATTGCATAACTGTTTGAATTTTAGTCTAAAATCTTTTTTCAATTCGATGAAAAATATTAACAAACAATATTGATTACTTAATTATCAATAGTTTGATAATATTGCCTTGCAAATTACTATCTTTTATTTATTTTTTTTATCAATCTCAATCGAGATAATTATTTATTTTTTGCTAATAAATTTATTGCAATAACTTCGAGAAGGTATTCCTATATTAATATGATCTATAGCAAAAGATTATCAATAGAATCTAATTTATTCTTACACTGTGTGCTCTCAGAAATTTTAATCAATTTTCTGGCTTTTTTTTTTTTCTTAATCCTACTTTTTTATATCAGAGTGATAAATTAATCAGTGTGCTAATCATTTTTCAGAAGCCAAGGAACTTTCGGACAATAAAGTGAAGCAACTACAGGAGGAACTGGATCGTTTGTTAAGCGAGCTGAATACTGTTTGATCAGAAACATTCTAACATACTTTTTTGTTTTTTCATCTTTAACCTAAAGCATTGATATAGATTGTTGCGGAATTTGGAACTTTATCTTTTCAGTTTTAAATAATTTAACTTTTCTTTTTCTTGAATTTACATTATGTGAGTATCTTGTTGATCGTTTCTTTCAAAATTTTTTATTGCAAAAAAAAAAAAGGAAATGAAACAGAAGATTTAAATTTCTTTCTTTTTTTTTTCTTTCAAAACATTTCTTATAATGAGACAAAAAATTCACTTTAAAAATTGCAATTTCTTTTTCTTCAAATTAATTATAATTAATTTCATTAACAAAATAATTTTATTCTTTTTTTAATTCATTTCGGAATGCTGCCCTACCGATGATCAAATTTTTTTTTCCAAGTTTTAAATGCTCATCAACTTGTGCAGTTTTATGATGTGCATGCTTCTTCTTTTCTTTTTTTTTTCTGTAATTTATGATTTATTAGCCGGTTATTGTACGAAGCCTTACTTCTTCCTTTTTATTTTATTTTATTTTTTTTTTCAGCTTTTCCTCTTCATATAAAGTATTTGATGATAACAAATTAAATTTTGTTTGAAAAATTTTAACAAAAAGTTAACAAATTTCATTTTGTATGAAGTGTAAGGTTGATGATACCTGGTCATTTACTTAATGCTTCCTACCTATTTCATGTGCGTACGTTTTATTTATTTTTTCTTAATGTATAATATCGCTTAAAAGATTTTGAAATTTATAAAACATTCCTGTTGCTTTCTTCATTTTTATCCTAACAAAATTGCCTCTCAGAATTTTAAATTGCAATTATCTTTTCTGATACCTTTAGTGTGTATTATATATCGTAAATGAATGAATAACGAATTTTACATTTCATTTTTTTTGAAATGAGAGTAAAGGATTAAATGAATATCATCGATTGGTGGTTTTTTTTCTCTCTCTCTCTCCCTTTCTCCCTCTCTCTCTCTCTCTCTCTCGAATACTTTCTACGAGAAAAGCATTATGGGAAATAATTTTATGAGCAAATAGATCACATTAAATATATAATTCAATCTTTTACAGTTGCTTAACGATATTAAAAAATTTTTTACTTTTTACATTTATACTGAATTGATTGCAATATTTAGAGGACACTGAAATTGTTCCTAAAAAAAAAATTAAATTTTGAATTAGAAAAGTTTCTTTTTTTTTTTTAAGTTTCTGCAACATTTATTTTTGCTTTTACAGCTGCTTCTTCCTTAATTTAAACAATAAGATTTTTTTTTTTTTTAGAAGCTATGCATTTTTGTATAATTTTAATATCTTACTTTGCAATCAATCAATCACTAGAAATAATTATATTTAAATTTGCACAATTACAACAAATATTTTTATTAAATTAGATGAAGGTTTTTTTTTTTGTTTCATTTCCTTCTTTCACTTTCTCATCGTTTTTTAATTTAAATGAATGAAAATTTCAAATTTAATTTTTACAATAAAGACATTTTTGCATATATGCAAGTTCCAAATTCCCAAAGATAAACAAAAGAGAAAAAGAAAATGTCAACAACTTATAGTTTATATTAATAGAAAGAAGAGAATTACTGGCATGCTTGTCATTTTCCCTTGTGTGATTGTTTTTTTAATACTAATAAATGTTTCTGTTCTTTTTTTCTCTTCCTCTTTCTCTTTCTCTCTAATGGATGGATGGTATTTTGATCTAATTACGGATGTTATTTGTTAATAATTATATAAAATTTTTATACGATATTCGAATAAGCAAATATCGGGTAATTTTTCGCATCCTTTTCAATGAAACAAAGTAAAATTAATTTTTTATGAAAAAAAAAAAGTAATACAAAATATTGCTTTAAAAAAAAAGACTTAAAAAAATGTGAATGTTTTGATTATATTTTATTTATATATTTTATCATTTAAAAATAGAATTTTTAAAATAATAGTCATAAAATTTGATCAATTTGATCAAATGTTTATTCATTTCAATTAGCTAATAATTTTAACTGTTAGCTAATTCAAAGTAATATTTCATTTCTTTAATTCGAAATAAATAATATAAATAAAGTTATGAAATAATTGCTATATAATAATGAATATTTCTAAAAATTTATCCTTTTCACTTCGCATGCTTTCTTTACCTACCAAATATTTTTTACACATAATTTTTCCAAACTTTTTTTTTAAAAAATTTATTTGAAAAAAATGGAAAGAAAAGAAAAGTGAAAAAAAAAAAACGAAAATATTATTATTGTATTTTACAGATGAATTGGTGCATGAGAAGGAACGATACAAAAATATTTCCGAGGAATTGGATCAAACTTTCCAAGAACTTTCTGGATATTGAGAGAAGCAAAAAATTAAAACTTAAAAATTTTTTAAATGCAATATTCATTTTACTAACAAAATGCGAATACATTTCATTTCATTTCATTTCTTCTCCTTAAAATAATGTGTTCTTTTTTTTTTATTTTCAAACATATTTTAGAGTTTGTTTCAAAATTTCATCCAAAAATGTTACAAAATATTTTTTTATATATACAACAAATCTATCATCAAATCATCAATAACAATAATATTTATTTACTTTATTTTTTTTCTGAAATACAATCAAAAAAGAGCTAAAATATTTGCCGAAAAATTTGTTGAAAATTTTTCTAACTGTCGAAGTGTTTTTTTAGAAAAAAAAAAAAACTTTCTAAAAATAGAAAAAAGAAATTCATTTTTAATCAAAAAATAAAAAAAAAAAAAACAAATCCATTAATCATTTAATATTCTCTTACTAACAATTCAAAACAAAAACAAAAACAAAACAAGAAAACAAAAAAAAAAGAGTAAAAACAAAAATAAACAAAACAAGACAAAAAAACAACAAAAAAAAAGCGAAACATTTTTCTCTTCCTCAATGTTTAGATTCTCTCTCTCTTTTTTTTTAATTAATATTTACTTCTTTTATTGCTAATTACTAATTTTGTTTCTTCTTTTCTACTACAAATTAGAAAAGCTTTACTCTATTTTACTTCTAGGCTATTCGTATCCTATAATTGTAGTATTTTTTTTTACATTGTATTTTTTTTTCCTGTCTTCCTTCTTCTGTATCCGTAAATTCTTGGATAATTTCGTCGGATAAAATAAAAGAAACAAAAATTTCGTTTTCCTTTTTTTTTTTTTTTGTGTAAATAACATTGAAGGATTGAAAATTCAACCAACAAATTGCATTTATCATGTTATCATATGATAACATCAGACCCATTGTTATCATCTGATACAGTTATCTCATGCAGATTATCTGTTATCAGCTGATGTAAATCACTGATAATATGCAAATTATGCATTACATTACCTGTTACAAACTATTTTCTTTTTTTTTAAATCAAAATTAACAATGGACGTATCACATTTGCAAATTGCATTTATCATTTTGCAATTGTCATTTTAAGAGATAACAAAAGGAAGCGCAAAAAAAAAAAAAAAAAAGAGGAAAGAAACTATCGTAATAAATTGAAATTTTATTTTTCCCATTATTACATAGAGCAATGCCATTTAATGAATAATTAAAAAAAGCGGAACAAATTGAAAGAGAAATGAAATTGCAAATGGAATGAATGGGAACGAAGTGAAATGCATAAATTTGCCCAAATAATTACCCATAAACAATTAAAGCAATGATTAATATATTAGAAATGAAATTTTACATTTTATTATTTGAGATAGTAAGGTGATGAAGAGTGGAAAATTAAATTAAAATTGAATTTAATTAAAAATTCACCATAGTATTGTGGAAGTTATACAACAAAAGAAAAGAAATGAATGCTGAATTAGGTGATAATTTCAGCTCAAAAATGGATGATTAATGATGATTTACATTTAAATATAAATTTTGTTTCTGATTTTAAATCTTCAAGTAATAATCAATCGGTTAAATTGGAAATTCAAATATTTAACTATTTAAATTATAGCAATTTTGTTTTTTATGCAAAAAGAATGGAAGGAAAAATGACATTTACATTTATTAGAAATAAAATTAATAATTAAATTATGAAAAATTCAACATACATTTATGATAGAATTGATGAAATGGTATTTTTAATTAATTTATGATTGAAATTTATAATGCAATATCACTGTTTAATTTATTTTTAGTTTAAATTAATGCGAAATTGAATAATTTATTCTCATTCATTTTGACTAAATCATTTAAATATAAACAAATAATTTATTAACAAATTTGATGCTATTCATATGATAACACTTTATAATAATGAATCTATTCAAATTTAATTAAAAAATTATCAAATTAAGGAATTAAAGAATGCTTAGCTACTTTAATATATATAATTAATAAAATTATTAGTAATAATTAAAAGTTATGAGAAAAGTTATTACTAATAAATGGATTAGAATGAGATGAATGAGATGAAATAGTTAAGTAAAATATAAATAAAATATAATATTTATTGAAAAAAAGAGGAAAAATTGATTAAATCAATTTAATTTTTTAATCAATCGATAATCAAACTTCTTTTATTTTTTAATCAATCAATTTACTTTTATAATTTATTTTACTTTTTAATTCTATCACTGTGTGTAGTGAATTCATCCATTTTTTTTTCAATTATTAAATTTGATAACAAAACTTTCTAGAATAAACAATATGATATGATATGATTTAGTTTTAAATTAATTAAGCAAATTAGTCACTGTTTTCTTTTTTTTTTTGAAAAACTGTTTATTTATTTTTTTTTTTTTTTTTTTCATCAAATTTCAATTTTTCAATGAAAGAAAATTAAGAAGAAAATATTTTTGCTATCAAAATTTATGTTATTTTTTTTTTTTTTTTAAATGAATAATTCATAAAATTTTTACAGATGACATTATCAAATACTGTGCATTCCTCGATATATACAAGTGGCATTCCGGAATATTCCTGATTTTTTTCCTGATTAAATCAATATAACAAATTGTACTTTGTTGTTTCAAATGTATAAATTCATCATTTAAGCTTTGTTATCTTTAATAAATTTAAATGTAATCAAATTAAAATACAAAAATTAGCATAGCATAAGATGACAATTTATTGTAAAAGCATAAGCAGTGCAAAATTAAAAAGAAAAAAAATTATAATAGACAATTAAAAGATAAAAAAAAAGACAGTAATAATTTTTGCATATGAACAAAATAGTAGTATAAACGATATCAAAATCTTTGGAATTAAAAAATATGAGAGCCTTATCAAAATCATTGTTATCACTACTGTTATCATTATCATTTAGTTTTATAATATATTATATAATTTATTATCATTTAATGAAAGATACAAAAAAATGAGAGTATCAAATCAATAAACATAAGAATAGGCGAAGCAGGAAATAGCAAAATTTTAAAATAAATTTAGCTGATTATTATTATTTTTTTTTTTTGAAATTTAAAAAAAATTAAATTCAATAATGGAATACGAAAAATTGAATTTTTTATTTTCATTATTTCAATTTACATTTTTCAAAAATTCCATTATATTTAACAATTTTCTCTCTCATATTTTTACAATTGATTGTACAAAAAAAAAAAAAAAAGAAAAAGAAAATTGCTTATGATTGAAAAATTTTCTAATTTTGAAAATATTCATAATATAATGGAATTTTATAAGATGAATCAATTTTGAAATGATACTGATTCAATTTAAAATTATTAATGATTTGATTTTATTATTTATTGAATGAAAGCATAAAATGATTATGACAAATGATTAAAATACAAAACTAAAATAAAAATAATAGAGAAAAAGAAAACAAAAAAAAAAAAAAACAAAATTTTAAGCAGCAATTTGGCAGTAATTATAATTAAACGCAGTGAGAAAATTATGAGAAAAAAGCAATAAAAATTTAAATTTTAATTATTTAATATGCAATTATTACATATATGTATTTAAAAAATATTAAAAAATTAAGTAAATCTTATTAAATTCGATTAAATTATTAACATTATGCATTATACATTATGCAAATTCGTAGGATAAAACAATAAAAAAAAGAAAGTGCAAACATTCATTAATGAAAATAAAAGCAAAATTTTAATTTCACTCTTTTTCATTTTTATTTTTTATTCACTAAAATATGCTCTCTTCTTACCCAAACGTTTGTCGGCATTGTATTTACTCATATTCTGAAAAAAAAAAATGAAAATTTATGAAATACAGATGTTTGCTAAAAATAATCTTTGGAAAATTTTGTTAAACTTTTTAATTTAAACTATCGCAGATGAATTGGCTTAAAATTTGAAAATTTAATAAATTTTATTAAAAGAAATCGAATTTTTTTTCTTTTTGAAAATTTAAATTAATTTGTTGATTGGAAAAATGAAACAGCAGCAATTTGTTAATATTTACACTGAAAAAATAAAAAGTAAAAAAAGTTAGTCTATGTATGATATTTTTATTTGTTCTAATATAAATAATAATAATAATAATAATAATAATAATAATAATAATAATAATAATAATAATAATAATAATAATAATAATAATAATAATAATAATAATAACAATAATAGTAATAATAATAATAATAATAATACAAATAATAATAAAATCTGAACATATATATGATATTTTTTTTTAACTTCTTGGTTTATTAGTTTAAAAAAGAAAGGAAATGATTGAAGCAATCATTAATAATAATTTCTTAGCTAATTAGATGAACAGGTAAGTCTTGGCTATATAATTACGTGGACTTTTCAGGCCATTTATTTCAACAACTGGGACATTAGATAATGAAATGAATAATTTATTTTTGCATATTCAGAAATTTGTTGTTAAAAAATTTAAGAAAAAATTGAGAAAAGGAGGCAAAAAATAATACCTCAATGCAAAGTACGACTAATTCACGTGAACATTCAGAATCTCGACTATCACGTAATAACGGTAAACCACGTCCAATGAATGATGCTCGTCCTACTTGTGTTGTTGACGCTGATCTCCATGCACTACAGTAACCGGATTCACTACGCATACCGGATAAATCGGAACCATGCCATATACGTTTTTCAGGCCTTAAAATAAATGATTCTTTTTTCTTCCCTCAGCAATTATTTCTAACAAATAGTCTTCCAATCTTAGATTCATCCATTGCTAATAATTAATCTAATTGATTATCAGAATTGAATAGAAATCATTCTGGAAATTCTTCCAGTATTTCAATATATTCTCTTCCGGTATTTCTCGTTGAAATGACATAATCTCATAAAATATTCAATAACAGACCATATAGAATCAGCAAAAACATTTCGACGATTGAATGAATAAATGGGTAAGTCAGCCATTTGTCTTTGCTGGAAAATATCACTCCAAGAATCAAACAACCGTTCACCGCGAAGATTTACTACCGGGGTATCGCGATCACCGCTATGTACCACTTTGTTTAAATCCTAAGAAAAATTATTTCTCTTTTTTTTTTGTTATATTTTATTTATGAGAAAAAAGAAAGAAAAACATTGAAAAATTAGATTTTTATTAATTTCATCTATAAAAATTAAAATGTAATTCGATTTTAGGTTTAAAATTTTCCATATGAGTTTGAAATATTTCTAAATGTTGAGTTTTTAGATTTAAACATTTGAAAAACAAAAGGAAAGAGAGAGAGAGAGGAAGAAAAATAAATATACATTTAGCTATAATACTGTTCATTTTAAAATTTTAATTAACGTATGAAATTAAAAAGATGTAAATAAACAAATTAAGGTCAATCTATAGCAATAATTAGTGAAAGTACTAATTAGAATTGATAAGAAATAAATGATACAATGCTATCATCCATTTCTAATTAACTATAAAGAAAAATTATTGCAAGAAATTTCATTTTTTATTCAATAATTGTTTTAAATTTAAATTTTAAAATTTTAGTAACATTTTTAGTAAAAATGTTGATTATACCTGAACATGTGATGACAGGAATGCTCGAAAAGTAGTACGGAAATTAGCTTGTCGAGCTTGCTGATAGCATGCTAAGTCAGCTCCACGTACGCCACGCATATTACCACTCATTGGTGTATTTAATGCTATGAGATGAAGCTAAACCAAATAATAATATCCCTCAAATTTTGTATTAAAATTCAGCAAAATACTTAATTGATTTCAAATTCAAATATTCAAAATATATAATTTGCAACAATAGAAGAAAAAAAAACTTTAAAAAGAAAAAAAAAAACGAAAACTTACGACAAGATCTTTAGCTTGAAGACTATGCGGCAGCAGAGCGGAATGCGTTCGATCCGGTCCTGGTCGTTCACGATAACGCAATCGTTCATGATCCGGATAACGTGAGCGATGAGCTTCTTGCTTAATTATAATAAAATTGCGCTGTTATGCAATGATATCAAAATAAACATCGTTTGGGCTATTCATTAAATTATGAAAATTTTCAATAAATTTAGGAAAAAAAAAGTTCAAAACTAAAAAAGTGCAATTATCAAATTTTAGTGCAAATGCAACAACAACAAAAAAAAAATGTGCAAATCAGCAAAGATTAATTGCAAAAAAATAAAAAATGTGCAAAAGTGCTGTGCAAAAATATTATCAACAATATTTGCACCATGTAAACTGCAGTGCATGCATGCATGAAAGCAAGCACTTCTAGCTGATTTGCATGGATCAATCATTAGCAGATCAATGCTATGATTGGAATGATTTCTGATTTTTAATAAAAAAATGATTAATAATTAATCAGTTAATTAAATCATCATGTAGTACCAATGGAATCTTCACATTTGATTATTAGTCTTATCAATTGTTATCATTTCATTCCTATTCAGCCGCACTTAGCCATAATATCTAGGCTACTAGCTTATTTTTGTAAAAAACTAGGCCTAATTTTTGTTTATTTTTATAAAAACTAAGTCTAAAAAATTTCCAAAATGAAAGTTCAAGCAATTCTAATTTGCTTTTTCTACTATTATTGATCAATCGATAATTGCTATCTCTTAACTTTATGCATTTATGAGATCATACTTATCATAAAAAATATAATTTCAAAAAAAAAATCCAATTTTTTTCACTAAAATTTTTTTTGCTAATTATTTGTTTAGAAAAAAAGAGGTGGAAAAAGCGCTGGAAAGATCCAAATTGGTTTGGTTTGGTTTATTTGAATGGATCACCTCATCCGCTAATGAAATTGTCGCTTGCTGTTTAGACCATTCCGGACTAAATGTTGTTGCAATATGTTCGGAATGGTAATCCGGTTTAACTGACGGATTTTGATGCTCTATTCGTTGATGTTGCACTGATATATGTTGAGATGATGGAAAAGATTGTAGTGTTGAAGGAGTGTGATCTAATCTTTGCGATAAATGATGAGATTTATGTAATCGTTCATTTGATGATAATCGTGATAATCCTGATAATCCTGATGATCCGGATGAACCGGATGGTAAACGATACCTTGGATAAAGTTGACCTGCTGGTGGTCGATATTCTGTACGTGGATATGATAAGTGATGTTTTGATTCAAATGTTTGCCATGATTGTTGATTGGAAAATGTTGATGGAGTGATTTCTGATGATAATAATGATTTATGATGTTGCTGATAAGATTTGATAGATTGTGATGCATCGAATATCTGTGGTCGATGAATGATATCAGCAGTTCTTGATTGTTTATCATATGTATCAGGAATTAATTGTTGATTTTTTTGGGGAATATTTAATTTTGGTGATATTCTATGATGTGATAATGATACTTGTGATGGTATCAATGAGTCATCATTGGACATTAAAGGAATTTGATATTGTACCTCAGATTTTGATGATTCATCCTAAAAATTTGCTAGAAAAAAATGGTAGTTTGACGGAACAACAACAAAAAAAAAAAAAAAACAATGATTATGAAGCATTTCCGCCCTGCGTATTGTAATTATATTATTTATAAAAGTGCTTTACAAAAAAAAAAAAAAAGTGTTAAAATTTGAATGTGTAAGTAATTTTTAAAAAGTGAGCTGAATATGAATATAGCGTGATAATTAAATATTAATAAGCTTTTAAAAATACATTAATTTTAACTTGAAAATTTGATAAATTTCATATTACATTTTCAATTAATATCAAATTAAAATTTTTTGAAAATATTACAATATCTTATGTTTCTTTTTATTTTAAAAAATAAAAACTTTCAAATTATATTTCTGTTAAATTGCAAAAAAATCAGCAATTTAATTTTACCAAAATTCTCATTAATGGATTTATTTGCTTTAAAAGTAATTTTGGTAAAGTTTGCATACTAATAAGGTGATAAGATAAAAAATAGATAAAGGGTATGATGAATTAAATTATTATAAACCAATTAAATTCGATAATTTATTAATTATTTGATAAACAATAATTTCAATGAAATTAATCAAGAAAAATTCATTCATTATAACTCAGTTGAGCTAATTTTAACATAAAATTATTGAAAAATAATTGATATACTAATTTCATATTAATAATTCATTGGTATAAATAAAATAAAATTTTTTACTATAAATAAAATAAAAAATATTTTCTTTTCTATTTTACAATCACTTTGACAACAAACTATCAATGAATACTTTTGACAAATATATGGGAAAAAGATTATTTCGTTTTGTCATCATAAAATTTTAATTTCATTCATTCATCGTTTTATGAGGACAAATAAACACTAAAATTTGAAAAATTTTAAACCATTAATATTTTCTAATATTCTTAAAATTAATTATCTTTCTATCATTTAATTAACTGTCATTGAACATTTTCAGATTAAATTAAATTTTGCTATTTTTTTTTTCAGTTTAGTTAAATTTGATAAATATGCTTAATAAGCCAAAATCATTTCTTCTCAGATATTATTTGAACAAAATTTTATTCCAAATGCCACTGAAATAATTTTTAGTTTAATTTTTGCTTTTCCATAATTACAAAAGATAGCATACTTAATTAACTTTAATAAATCGTTCTTTTTTTTTCACAAAAATAAAACTTTTTAAATAATCTAAAATACTATATGTTAATTAATTAACTGTTTTGCATATCTATCAAATCGGAAATATTGGATAGTCTATTCCGGAAATATAACAATCAACTATATTGCTACAATAAACTACAATAAAACGATAAATGATAGTAATTTTAAAGTAATTACTCGTTTACAATTATAGGTTACATGATCCATGCATACTTACGATTCTTTCAGCATCGAGCTATAACGGAAGAAAAAAAAAAGAAAAGAAAATGACAATAAAATTTTTGAAAAATTTTTTAAAAAATTTTAAAATTTTGAAATTTATTCCAGGAAAAAAAATGACAAAATATCAATTGGAAAATAAACCAAAAAAAAAATTTTTTTTGGTTTTTTTTTTTAAAAAAAAGAGAACAAAAATTATTAACGATATTACTAAACGCCAGCATCACAATATGTCGTACAGGTAGCTTACAACACCTTCATTAACAACATCTAATGGTAAGCAATTATAACTTACCCAATAATGCATGAAATTTTCATTCGGTGGTTCAAATTCAATTTCCTAAATTGTTAAATCAATTTTTAGCTTAGTTCTCTTTTTCTCTTTCTCTTTCTCTCTCTCTCTCTCTCTCTCTCCAAAATCGCACAATTGTTTCAGTTTTAGCATGAAAATTATATTTTTATATTGTCAAAATTAACATAAATAAATAGATTGATAAATAAGTAAATAAAATAAATAAAAAATAAATAAATAAATGAACCGTTCATATAAAACCATTTTGCAATATTTAGTTTTCATCTAAAATGGAAAAAAAAATTACAAATTAATTTGTAATATTGATTAAAAATTTCCTGAAATTGTGATATTACTGTTTTTTTCTCTTTTATTGTGATAATTTTTTAATTATATCACAAAATTTTTCTTTTAGCATAAAATTATTTTTTGTTTTTATTGTTAAAAGAGACAATAAGGAATTGATAATTGTTATCATAATGATAAAAATGATTAGAGAAAAAATACCATCAAAATGACTTACAACTGTTGGACGACGTTCCATAATTGGATGAAAACCTTCGAGCTGAAAAAAAAAATTTTTTTTTCTTAAAAATTTTTCGATTTTTTTTTCATTTGTAATTTTTTTTATGCTTAAGAATTAAATTGAAAGTTTCTTTATTTTAAAGTTAAATTTTTCTCAAATGGCAAATTTTATAATTGAATTTAGGAGAGAAAAAAAAAGAGAGAAAAAACAAACTTTAATATCTTTGAAGCCACCATTAACACGTATATATAATTGTTGACTTGATATACAAAAAGTAAGCGAACCTATTGGCATACCATGTGATGCAGTAAATAATTCAATTGTAGTTGGATATACTTGAACCTATAAAAAATACGATAATTAAATAATTAAAATAACAGTATTTCAAGTCCAGTAAGAAAGAATTCCAATTTTACTGTAATTTTACTTATTTTATTAGATTTTTAGATTTTTTTTTGAAAAAAAAATTGTATTCTAATGAACTATAAGGAATATATATAAAATAGAAGAAAAAATCTGTAGAAAATGTGTTAAAAAATTCTTTAGAAAAATTTCTAATTTTTGAAATTAGTTTAAAATTCTTTGTCATATTTTAATTAAACAAAAATAGTGCACTTTGCTTATTCAAACTTGATTAAACATTTAATTTTTTTCATTGCATTAATGACTTTACTTATTGCTTAGTATAATGTCAATTATTATTATAGTTAATTGATAATTTGAATTTTATTTTCATTTTTTTATTTTATTTATTTATTTTTTCAATATTTTTACTCCTCCAGGTGCAATGTGCGTTGGTTGTGGATAAGCAGCTAATGGTGGTCCAGCCGGTCCAGGATGTCCAGGTGATCCAGGAGGTCCAGGAGGTCCAGGTGGTCCAGGAGGTCCAGGTGGTCCAGGGTGTCCAATTGGACCCATTGGACCCATTCGTCCTATCTCACCACGTTCACCTGTAAAAGAAACTATAAATTGATGACAAATTCGATTTAATATAACGATTTCTACAAGTAAATTAATACTATTAATGATTAACCTCTTTCGCCTTTCATGGCATAATGACGTTGGTAAGAATCATATGGAGGTAATTCTTTACTTTCACCTGGATGGCGAATTGGTATTCCTGGGAGACAGTCGCCTTTTTCACCCTGTAATTACTATCGAACATAAATTTTAATTAACTTGATTTCACTTCCATTTCTGGTTAATTTAAAAATTTTCAATTAATTACCTTTAAAAAAAGAACTGAAACAAAAAGTATAGTCTCAAACCTTAATTCGAGGATCGCTAATGATACGTTCGATATCTTCAGGATGTAATCTTTCACAACGACCTGGAACTCCTGGAGCTCCTGGAAATCCTGGTTCTCCGACACCCCGTGGTCCTGGTGGTCCTCTTGGTCCTAAAAGTTGTATTCATCACTAATGATAAATTCCCAAAATGACTGATATAGAATTAAGAAGTAAAAACTAACCCATTGGTCCTGGTGGTCCTTGTGGTCCTGTGGGACCAGCTACTGTTTGAACTCCTTGTGGTCCCTCTTGTACTATCTGCGTTGATAGCCCAGGTGGTCCTGCTGGGCCAGGTGGTCCCATTGGTCCCATTGGTCCCATTTCTCCTGGCATTCCAGGTATGCCGTCACGTCCATCACGTCCTGGCTGACACTCGATAGGACACTAAAGTTATTACATAGAAAAATCCCTATTTATTAAAATGTAACACTAGTTTTCTTCTTTAATCAAATCTAAGAAACAAAAATTTACTAACCGTTCCAGGTTCCCCTGGTGGTCCCGGTTCACCTCGATCACCTTTATCACCTTTTTCACCCTTTTCTGGTTTAACTGAAAAAAATTTCCTTCAGTAAATTTTGTAAACGATGGAGCAAAACAAAAAAAAGGGAAAAGGAGAAAAAATGATAGAGCAAAATTCATAAGCACCTAAAACTTCGTCTCATCCAAAAACATTTCAATATTGCGAAGAAATTAAACAGAGGAGAAAAAAGCATTATTGAGTGTAACCTTGGTACCTAGCATCAGTTATACTGATATCACTGAAGTTATATGATAATACACGATGAAGAATTGAAATATTATACAATTCAAATTTAATTGTACTAGAAATTAAAGTTATTCCATTTCGACTACGTTTATTCTTATAATTTATTTTTTTTTTTATAAAAATATTGTAAATTAAAGAATTACATATACATTAATATTTAATAAATTATTTTTATTTTTCTTATATATGTTATGTAATAAATAAAATAAAAAGAAAAAGACAAAAACAAAAAGAAATTATATATGTATATATAAATAAAGAATTTTAATTAATTTATTAAATTAATTTATCATTTAAAAGAAAAATTTTTCAATTATCAATCACAATAAGCAAACAACTAAATACATTAAAATGATACAGCGAGCATGCATTCGCATCTATTATCAAATTATCAGTTCTACTGCATGACCCTTCTACAAAATGTCAAACCATCGGTACGATGACCGCGGTTATTCCAAAATTCGTGAATTTCTGATATTGCTTCCAATGATTGAATTTGTTCCAATATTGGAATAATTGAAATTAGACGTTCCGTAATAGTAGTTTGATGAGAGGGTAAAATTAAACTATCTGTATGTTTGCCAACAATCAACTGATCATTGGAATCAGTGATGTATGAAGAATGAGAAGATGGTGAGGAAGAGGAACAGGAAGAGGAAGAAGAAGAAGAAGAATTTTGATCATCTGAAAATTATTTACTACGGCAACAAAAAGAAAAGAAAAGAAAAAACTAATTTTATGCACTATGAAATTTCTCGAATTCATAACATTAAATTTATTATGAATTTTTAATTTTGAAAAAAAAAATTGATGCAAGAAGGTTTATTCTATAATTTTTAATTTAATTTATGCGTAATTCATATTTTAACAAATAGAAAAGTTCAAAATTTATTATAAATTTAACAAACACATACACAAAAAAAGAGAAAAAAGAGTTAGCAATAAAAGCTTAATTCCACTTTATCGTTTTTTTGTTTAGTTTAAAGCATAAATCATTTTCAATTGAAAATTTATGTTCATCCAATTTAAAAGAAAAAACGAAAATTTAAGATATTAAAATTAAATAGATTATAATTAATTTAAAAAAAAAAAAACTTAATATATCTGAAAAGAAAGATTAAATAAAGTGAAAAAAATTTTTTTTAACATACCACGTGGATAATCTGATGATGTATGCATGGAAGATTGCTCTGGTACTGCAATTGTTGTCTTGCCCGTCTTTTCTACAAAAATTTTACATCATAAATTAGAAAAAAGAATAACAATGTCAAAAAGTTCAAAGGTCAAAAGGTCACAAAATATAATAATAGTTACAAATAATTGAATAATTGATACAAATGAAAATAGATAATAAGTGAGCAATATTCAAGAAAACAAATTTTTTCCAAAAAATATTAAATGCATGTAAAAATTATTATAAATTTAATTTCAAAATTTTTACTCATTCATAAATTTATGTTCGAAACTATCCGATAAATCAAAATTTCAAAAATTTCATGAAAATTTTCATGGAAAATTCAATGTGATAAATAAAGTTTTTCCCAATTTATTATGTTAGTTTTTTTTTTTTTTACATAAATGAAATTTTGGCACTTTTGTAATTTTTTTTTTGAAAATTTTTTAACAAACTGTTACAAAACAAAAATGATAAAACTAACCATATTCTTGAAGTTCTTCATCTTGCACACCACTACCTTCCTGAAAATGAAATCCTGAATGAAACAATTTAAATAGTTTATAATTTTGAGAAAAAAAAAGGATAAAATTAAAATAAATTAACATATTGTGCAAATATTATATAGGTGTTACAGCATTTTATTGTTTGCTGCTACTATTTTGAACTAATTAATTAGAACAATAATTGCAAAAGTTGGCGAACATTGCTTCTGAAATAAGTAATAATCTTTTTTTTTTTTTTCAGTAAAATTTTCCGGATTTTTCACAACATGCGGGGAAAAATGTTTATTTCATTAAAGAAAAAAGCAAATTAATTTGCTAATTAAAATTAAAAACATAAGAAAAATACATAAAAAGCAAACAACATTTTTACAAAAAAATATCAATCACAGAAATGAAGCAACCGAATAATAAAACAAATTAATTTTTACCTTCAGCGACTTCATTTTTCGTCTTTTCCACTAAAGCAAATGTAAATAGTCGTTTAATTAATTAATTAATTAATTAAACTATTTTCTTAAATTCTTTTTTTTTTCATGTAATTATTTAAATTTTAATACTTTTCCATTTTTTCACTATTTTTTTTTGACAAAATTTTACACAAAAAATGCTATAGAAAAGAATAGATTTTTGAAAAATTTGACAAATTTATTAAAATTTTTTCAAAAATTTTAATTTTTTTTTAAAAATTATTCAAAAACCGCTGAAATGATTGATAATTAATTTCAAAAAAAAAAAGAAAAAAAGTGAAAATGAAAAAAATAACTTACAGTTTCATCATCGCATGCAATTGCAGCATCATTAGGATCATCCGAAATTCTCATTTCTTGAATTGTTCCCTAGAATTTTTGATGAAATTTCAAATAAATCTAAATTATTTGAAAAATTCTCACCCAATCTATTTCATCTTCTTTTCCCATATGATTTTTTCTTCCAATTATATCACTTTTTAGTAATTTTTCATCCATTATTTCATTTAAATTTTCCAATTTTTTTCCCATTTCTTTGTCAATTATTTGCATCATTTCATCTGTTTTTGCTTCCAATCCAAATTGATGCATCGTTGGTTCCATTAAATTTTCAATACTATCTTTTGGTAATATTTCCGGTGCAATTCGAACAATTCCCATTTCCATATTTTCATCATCTTTTTCAGTTTCTTCAACGGAATTCATCTGCTCATAACTATCCGTTGTTTCGATCTCATCAAATGTTGTACCTTTGAACATTTCATTATTATTACTACTACTATCATCTACATCTGCATCTGCATCACTACCCATAATAACAATATTTTCCACTGGTATTCGAAATCGACTATCATCAGTGTTATCACTTTTATCAACATCATCATCATCACCAATATCATGAATATGATAATCTGATGATGTTAACATTTCATCGGAAGCACTTGTTGGTGAATCATAATTTGTTGATGATAATGTATCAAATATCTTATTCATTTCATCCTTATCACTTGTATCATCTGTTGCCCAACGTTTTCTTCGATGATTACTGTCGCCATCATTTAAATTAATCATTCGTTGATTCAAAAATTTCCATTTAATATTGCTGCTACTATCTTTACTATTACTTCTACTACTACTACTACTACTACTACTACTACTACTACTATCACCATTGTTATCATTACGAGTTGATTGATTAATTAATGATTGGAAAAGATTAGAATTATTTGATATTGAATGAATAGCTAATGAAATTTCCTTATTTACAGGATTGTTTGTTGGATCAATTAATGAGAAATCTATAAAATTTGTCCCAACAATTGATAAATTCTGTTTATCAGTGATAGTGCTATTTGCACTTTCAATAATAATAGTAGTAGCAGTAATAGTAGCAACAGCAGAGTTTCCTTCATTATTTACTCCTTTTTCATTTTCGTTTTGTTGTTGTCGTTGTTGCCGTTGTTGTTGTTGTTGTTGTTGTTGTTGTTGTTGTCGTTGTCGTTGTTGTCGTTGTCGTTGTTGTTGTTTAAGTGCAGTTAAAATGAAGCCTTCATCAGTGACTAAATCTTCAAATTTTTTTGATAGTCCACTTTTTGCTATTGTACTCACTAATTGATGATAATTGCCAGTATCATGATTCTTTGAATTTTGATTTTTGAACTTATCAATATGAATTTTAAAATCAACAACAGATGAATGATGAATATCTTCCGTTTGTTTTGTATTAATTGTTATAATTAGTGCAGAGAATAGAAAAAATATTCGTAAAATATGATTAGACAATAATAGTAATTGATAAGACTTCATTGATAATAATTTTTTTTGAACAAATTCATTCAATCAATTTTTAAATTTTAATTTTTTTTTCCGGCCTGGAAAAAGAAAACGAATTGGGAATAAATCAAAAAATTAATGGCACTCATAACATTTTGTCTTTATCAACAAGTTTAAATTGTTAAGAGAACGAATGGAAAAGTAATGAGTAAATTGAACTATTTAAAAGACATTCTTAAATATTTAAATTGTTTAAAAAAGCAAAAAAAAAAAAAAAAAAAGTTTGCAAGTTCAATTGAATTAGCAAGAAAAGGAAAGATAAAAAATAAAAAAATGCATCTAATTTTGTTCAAATATATTCTAAAGTGGAAAAGAAATAGATGGCACAATCAAGTAATAAATTTTTGAATATAATTTGCAAGATCAATTAAATTAATTTTAACTTAAATTTTAATTAAAAGTTATTATCATTTTAAAAGAAATGAAAAAAAAACTTTTAAATGAATGATAAAGTTTTTTTACAAAAATTTAATTAAATATTTGCAAAATTCGGCGAGAAAATTAATCGTTCAAAATTTAAACCTAAATAGTATTAAAATGGAAGAAAAAAAATAAGACAATCTAACATTTTTGGAATATTTTTTAAATATGTCACCTCTTTATTTGCATATTTTTGCTCTTTTCTTCTTTTCTTTTATAATTATAAAAATGGATAATATTTATTGTAAAAAAAAAAAAAAAAAAACTTTGTTAATTTTCAAATAAATAAAAATTAAAATATATCAAAATTTTAGAGCTTCGCAAAAGATTTTATAATTTATTAAGTTATATTAGTGATAAAATTTATCAGATGGTTATGAAGATAACGAATAGAAATAATCTAATAGTTATTCATGATAAAAATAAAATTAATAACATATCATTAATTAAATAACTAATAAACTTTTTAATTAATAAAAATTACAAAATATGATTATTTGAACTAATAAAATAAAAGGAAAATTATAAAGCAACAAAATGAATGAAATATCAATAAATAAAGAAAAAAAAGTTTTTTATTTAATCCAATCTATAAAATCAATTATGTGATGATAAAATTCAAATATTATTAATTAAATGAATAAACAAAAAATTTTCAAAATAGCAAAATTTTAAAAACAAAATAATAAATGAGTTAAAAAAAAGGAAAAGAAAATTATTGAAGTAAAATAAGGAAATAATAATAGGAAAGAAAAGTGAGAAATGTGAAAAAGTAAAAGAAGATAAAGGAAAATTTAAACTAAATATAAATTTCATTAATTGTGTCATATTAAAAAAGACAAAGATTAAATATAATTTTTAATATAATTTTTTAATATAATTTTTTTTTTTAAAAAATAAAAATTAAATATAATTTTTGTTAATTATATCATATTGAAAAAGATAACGGAAAATTTAAAATAATTAGTGATAAAATTTATCAGATGGTTATGAAGAAATTAGATCAATAGATTATCCATTAGTTAAGCAAAAAATAGAAATTTTTTATCAATTATATCATTTTATCAAATATTCAAAAAATATTTTTACATTAAAATAACTAAACAAAATTTATATCCAAAAAAAGTATTTTTGAAATTGTAAAAATACTAAATGCAAATGATAATTAGAAGGAAATTTTAACCTTTATATACATTTATACACATACACATATGTATATAATACTTATACCATTAAAAAAAAATTTAAACATATGGGATTTTCTTTTTTTAAAAAAAAAAAATGAAACTACGATGATGTTAAGATGTTATCTTCGTTTAATTACAAAAACTGTGTTTTTTTTCTTTTTCTCTTTCTCTTTCTCTCTCTCTCTCCTTTTTTTTTGTTTGGTATTTTTAGAAATGTTTTGGAGAAAAGTTTAAGATATCCTGAATGAATAAGATCGATGATATAGGTTTAATTTGAAGCATTTGAAACAACATTTAACGACATCATTATTTCAATTTATTGTTTCAGAAAAGAACCAAAAAAAGAGAGAGAGAGAGAGAGAGAGAGAGAGAGGAAAGAGAAAATGTGAAAAAATAATTAGTAAAAATTAAAATTTAAAACTTTTATGTTACTTATTTGTAGCATTAAACATTTAAGCAATCATTTTTTTTTGTTTTTTTGTTTTTTTGTTTTTTTTTTTTATTTGCTATTATAAACACCAAAAATTGAAGCAATATGTTTCAGTTTTATAGATCAAACGATACATTATTTTAGGCAATAAAATTAATTTAAATTAATTATCCGTTTTCCTTTTTTTTTTCTTTTTGCTTTTTGCTTTTGCATTTCTTCCATTTTTCTACATTTTTGAACCAATTAAAAAAAATAAGTTTGAAATGAAAGTATAATTTTCTTTGTTGATTGAACGATGAATTAATTAATTACTTAATTGTATTATTTAGTCAGATACTAATTAAAAATTTTGAAGGGAAAAAAAAAAAGTTAATTTCAAAAAAGCCAAGTAGAAAAAATATGCAATATAATTTGATCTTTAACTAAATATATTATTATTTTTTTGTAAATAGAAATTTTCCACGTTTGAAGAATTTCTTATCGACCAAAAATTTTCTTAAAATGAACTTAAAAAAGATTTATACTAAAATAAAACTATGACAAAAAAAAAAGTTTTGGAGGAGAAAAATATTTTTTTTTTTAGTTTTAGATCAAATCGATCGTTTTTCTTATTTGAAATAAACTATTCAAAAAAAATTTTAAATTCTAACTCAAATATTATCTAAAATTATTTAAAGAATTTTTAACTGAAATAAGCATAAATTCTTGCATTTTTTCATTTATTATTAATTTTTATTTTTTGAACAAAACAGAAATTATAATAATAAATCAGAAAAAATGTTTACAAGTGATTTTAAATTTAAACATATAAGAAGTATATTTGATCAAAAAAATTTGATACATTTCAAAAAATTTTTTAAAAATATAGAAATAGTTTTTACCTCTTTCACCCAATATATTTTTCAAAAAAATACTTATATACTTAATTAATTAATTTGCTATTTTATCACTTAATTAGTAATTGTTTGTTTGTTTTTGACCACTTTGTTTATTTTGCACTTTGTTTATCGAAATTTCTTGTAAATAATAAATTTCTCTCAAAATTCATTCAAATGATACAAATTATTATCTATGAATGATATATTCAAATATCATAAAATTTACATAAAACCTATTATTATCAATAAAAAATGAAATTCCATTGTTATTTATTATTATTTATCAAATATTTATGAAAATTCTCTAAAGTAGAAAACAATTTGAATGCCATAAATTATACAAAATATATTTCTATAAACTTTTAAATGCTATCATTTAAATGTAAAAATATAATTTGCTGCATAGAATTAATTGATCTATAATCGATTAATATAATCATTAAACATCCGATATTACTTTTCCGGATTACAATACGACTTTTCCAAAATATCAAATAATCATAATTCAAATTTATTAAATACCTTTTAAATATCAAATTCATAATTCAAATTTAATAAATCCATAAATCGTTTGATTTTGAATTTTTTTTTTTTTTTTTGAAAAAAAAGAAAATCATAAATTATTTCATTTTGCATTTTGCAATTTGTTCTAAAATCCCTTAAAATTTTGATCATATTTTAATTTGATCAATATTTCAATTTATAATAATAGAAAAATTGAATTAATACTTTGAAATTATTTGTTAAACTTAAATATTTTAATCGTTTTTTTTTCTTTCTTTTGTTAAAAGAAAGCTTCAAATATTGTTTGAAAAAAAATTGAAAGTATAGGAAAAATTTGCTTAATGGAAGCAATTAGAATGATAAAATGAAGAAAAGGATAAAATATATTTTCAAATAAATCTTCAAATCTTAAACTTTCATTTCATTATTTTTCCAATTCATATTTCATTCAAAATATTTTATTACTCTAAATTTGAGAATGTGACATTTGTTTCAATAATTTATTGTAAGATTAGCTTCAAGTATTATTTAGAAAATGAGAACAGTAGGGAATTCCAATTTAGCAATTTAATTTCTTGGAAATATCAAAAAATTAGTAGATAGTAGTAGTTTTTTTTTTTTAAATCTTAAATCAGAATTTGTGAAAAAAGTGAAATCAATAACCATTTCTCTTTTATCCAACAATAATTTTGAAATTTTTTATGAAATAAAATTAAAAAAAAAGGGCTCATTCCTATCAAAATTTTTCATCAAAACTAAATATTCTTTTAAAAGTGCCAAATAAAGCTAAAACAATTAGGTAAGAAGAAATTTTAATGAGTAAAAAGTAGTTAATTAATAGATGGCATTAGAATAAGTGATAAATAAGTTAAAAGTAAGAAACAAAGAAGCCTGGTTAAAACAAAAAAGCCTAGCTAGGCTCAATTAATTTAATTGTCTTTTTTTTTCTCGCTCAATTCATTGGCTAAAAAATTGTTAGCAAATTTAATTTTTCATTAAAATACATTGCTAATAGTTCAAATGAATATTTATTGTCTAAAAAGCAAATGAAAATAGTACACATTTGAAAAAAAAATACGCTATATGAATATTTTAGGAATTAAATTTGTCATAGAAATTTTTGATTTTTTACTTCTTTAAAATATTAAGTAAAAAAGAAAAGAGAAAAAAAAGAGCTAAAATTATATAAATTAGATTTCAAATTTTATTAATTCGAATTAAAAATTATGTTTCAAATAGAAAAAAAGTTAAAGATTAATAAATTTTACAATAAAAATTTGCACCATCGGCTGTAATACTCATATACATGCGCATATATAATTTTGGAATTATATTTTAAATTTAAAACAATTTGAAATTGTACTAAATTTGTAAGTGGTGTTTTGATTTGTAAAAATTGATATTTCATTTTTGTATTATCTTGCCTATTATTAGTATTTAAGTTTTTAATTTAAAAAAACTCGAACTTATTTTTTTAAATAATTTTTTTCATTTTTTTTTTCAGTTTGCAGTTTGAAATTTTCATTTTTTTTCCCCATTTTTATTTAAATGAAC